GTGACTTTGGGTGCACAAACCTTATGGAGCAGAGAATAAACACAAGCAAGAGATGGACAAGGTCATGGGTGTCCTAATCAAGGAAGGGATATTCGAGAAATCAGATAGTCCCTGGTCAGCTCCCGTCGTGTTACTCCAGAAGAAGGATGGGACCCAACGTTGCTGTGTGGACTTCAGAGCTCTTAATAGTATAACCGAAAAAGACTCATATCCACTGCCAAGAATTGATAATACTCTTGATGCCCTAAGTGGAGCCAGGTGGTTTTCAACTCTGGACATAAAGTCAGATTTCCATCAAGTAAAAATGGTTAAAGCAGATAAACCTAAGACTGCATTAAGTGATGGCCAAGGTTCTGGCAATACCATGTGATGACATTTGGGCTTAGCAATGCTCCAGCAGCATTTGAGAGGCTGATGGAAAGAGTACTGAAGGCCTACAATGGAGGATAGCCCTAGTGTACCTGGATGATGTTATTGTATTTGCAACAACTTTTGATGAGGAAATGTCCCAGCTAGAGGAAGTATTCAAGCATTTGAAAGCAGCAAACCTCAAACTCCACCCCAAGAAATGCCACTTGTTCCAGAAAGAGGTGCTTGACTTAGGTCACATTGTAAGAGAGCATGGTGTGCAAACTGATCCTGACAAGGTGAAAGCAGTGTGTGATTGGCCAACACCAGACAATGTGGGAGAGTTAAGAAGTTTATTGGGACTCTGTACCTATTACCGGAAGTTTGTGAAAGACTTTGCAACTATAGCTGCTCCACTACATGATTTGACCAAAAAAGGCCAGAAATTTGAATGGACATTGAAAGAAAAGTTGGCCTCAGCTCCACTTTTAAAGCTTCCAGATCCCTCACTGCCATACATACTGGATTGTGATGCTAGTAATGTCGGGATTGGAGGAGTGTTGTCTCAGAAAGTGGGTGAAAACGAACATGTGGTGGCCTACTTCAGTAGGGTCCTGAGTCAACCAGAGAGGAACTACTGTGTAATGCGGAGGGAACTCCTTGCTATAGTAAAGAGTCTGACATATTTCCATCCTTATCTCTATGAAGCCAGGTTTACCATCAGGACAGATCATGCTGCATTACGCTGGTTAACATAATTAATGAACCCAGAGGGACAACTGGCACGTTGGATCAGAAAGATAGACCAGTATAATTATGATATTGAATATAAAGAAGGAAAATCTCATGGAAATGCCGATGGAATGAGCCGAGGACCCTGCAAAAATGACTGCAAACATTGCTGCAAAAGA